AGTTTACATGAGAGGCAACGGAAAGAAGTTTCCACCCACACTTGGGCATGTCATATGCACATTTCCAGGAGATATTCATTCATTTTATATTTATTTGACTAATCGAAAAATGGGTTTTTTCTTATCCTATCATTTCAATTTCTTTCTGACTTGCCCCAACGATACGCAAATGATTTGTCTCGAGAGAAATATAAAATTATCCGATTGACGTATTGACCTTTACATATCAGCTTGTTACAGTAACGCTGATTATACTCGTATACAAGATGATTGTGTATCAAGTAAATGAAAATAATGGTCAAATATATCAAAGAATAATTATGCTGAAGTGTACAAACCATCTATTCCGCTTTTTTAACTGATACTGCGANAGATTTAATCTCCAGCGATTCAAACCCAATGTGAATCACTACTTTGGCACAGGCATCGCTGTAAGGATTTTCTTGGAGTGCTTCATCTAAAAAACTGCTTTTATCTGTCCTTCGAAAGTTTTTTACGTTTATTAAACAAATAAGAAGAAAATAGCATAAGTTGACACAAATGCATCAAAATTACTACTTACTGATTACATTGATCCACACTAAGTAATTCACTGTTCTCATTTGATCATTCATTCATTTTTTGACAGTTAAATAATATGGGAGATTTTTATTACACAGGATGTTCCAAATTAAGTCGGCACCATTGCTAACTCCGTTGTTATTGATACTACGAATTCGGTTGAATGAACAAACTAATAGTATTTTCTATGGTCTTCTCGATGCTAAGAACAAAAAAAAACATACTGACAGTCGCGTTTTCAAAATATTTCATAAAATGATATTTTTTTTATGGAACACTCTATATTTCATCATGCACTCCGATTCATAATGATATTCTCAACAACAAAACTCATATAACATTTCTTCCTAAAGTTGAAAATGAACGACTTATCTGGAAATATTTATTTCTTTCACTATTACAATTATTTGTTTTGGCCAATGAAGAGCTATGAAATATTGAATAAATATTCAAAAACAGTGCCTGCTCATATAACACAATACGTGTCGCTTTCAACACAAATCGGCCATAAATTTTATCAATTAGAGTTTCGATATAATTCTTCAGTTCATCTAAATCATCATATTTCATTTTGTATACCTCATTTTTCAGAAATCCTGAAAAATGACAATCTAGAGGTGTCATTTCTGGTGAACGAGAAGGCCACTCAACAGGATCATTTGTAGCAATCCATCTGTTTCCAAAACAGTCTCGCTGAAAAGAGGTCTTCTGACGAGCCTCCAGATCATCAAAAAAGTCTTCCAACAATTTTGTTAATAAATTAATGTAACGGGGTCCGTTTGAAGGACCATTGTAAAAAAATGGACCAATAATTCTGCATCTAAATACACAAACCTAACATTAATACTAAATCGTTTTTGCGGATTGTTCGGATGGACTGGAAATGGATTATGACTATTCCTGAAAATTATTTCTATTATACATAACACTATTTGAAAAATTACCCTCATCGCTCCATATAAGATTCCTATAGAAGTTTGGATCTTGTCTGCATTTATTCATAAACTACAGACAAAACCCCAATTGTCTCCAGGTTCTTGTGTTTGCACTGGTCTTGACTTATAAGAAGGAATCATATGTTTTTTCAGAATTCGTTGAATAACAGACGGTGGAACAGCTATTCATCTAGATAAATCTATAAGGGAGTTATTTAAATTTACCTCAAAGTAGGCTGAAACATCAATTTCTGTATCTTCAGATATTATAAAATGATTTTCAGTTCCCCTCTCCTCAAAAACTTTTTATTGTTCCTGAATCGACGATGAATCACAGCATGAAAACGCCGACTAAGTCATTCACGATCATGAAACGAATTGCTATTATAGTAGTAGGATTTCAAGTAGGATTCCACCATATTACATGGAAAAACGGCATTTCAAAAAATATTCGAACAGTAGTTGACCGTTACAATAATTAATGACATTGTCATGATATATTTGATAATTGATGATTTGACAAATATTATTTCAACAAAGTTCAATTTGATTACTCATAATGATTCTGTTCCAGAGAACTAGACACATTTTTTTTCCAACCCCATTAATATAACGCTAATTATGTATTGGAAATCGAGAACTTAGTTTTTAAAAAGAAAATCGATTTCACATAAGACTCAAAAAAGCGTTTATTCTCTTCGAGAGCAGTACAAAGAATGAATTTTTGTTAAGACAATTATTACAAGATTTGAAATATAATGAGTTTGCAAAGTCTTGGGCTCCTGTAGATAAGGCACGTTTCTTGATAGCTGTTTCCACGTAACTCGTCCCTCCTCAGGCTGAAAAAATAACGGAGTTATTTTTTGAAGTTGTGGTTTCTGCGGATTCACAGGCTTCTTGGTTCTTCTTGAATATTTTTTGAAAATACTGCTTCAATTTCGGCAGGCTGAGCAGTATCACGATGACGATGATTACAAATATTATAGTCCCAAAAATAGATGTTGTAGGAACTTGGTTTTGTTGCGATTGAATAGGCTTCAGTTGATTGGCTATTCTGTCTATTTGGTACAGTTCATCAAGGTTGATTTTGGTGAAATTTGGGGTGTCGTAGACTTTTGGGGGTTTCAAGTCCGTCATTTCCCATTTGGGTAAAATCATGGGTTTCCCTTGTTGGATATAAATGTCATTTACATATTTTGTATCATGGATTTGGACTTCGCCCCAAAACGGTT